TTGAAGTCCACCCACCTTAAAGTTGCTGAGGTTGAGAAGCATTGCATTAGGGTTTTTAAGTAGGCACACAAGCAATAAAATACGTTTCCAGAATTCAGATAGCTTTCCGACTGACTTTATTCACTTCTGCTGTTGACTATGGAATAACTGCTTTATCCAAAGCCCAATAAAAAGAGAACTGTTGAAGCTATGGGGCAGTATGTGATGAAAATTCTGGAAGGCAGACTTCCTGAAGACCAGAATGCACGGCTTCTTCTCCCCCTCTTGTCAAAAGTCATCAGTTCTGCACCGCTGAGCCTTAACGAAGGTGAATATATGAATTCTAAAACCATTACGCAATTTAGCATGATGAAGGATTCTGAATATTTGCTCTGCCGTATGGTTCTCATACTCCTTGACAATAGGGCATATAGGCTGGAGTTTGTAAGACTTGTTGCTAAAATACCTTGATCTGTCACAATGCCTAATTGTGCAGTGAGGCTCAGGAAATCAGTAAACATTATAGTATAGCTGCCTTGGTTTAGTTAAAATAACTAAGAAACAGTTGCGCAGAAGTGATCTTTTAGAAGCTGAGAGATGATCGCTTCTGCAGGCTACGTCTACACCAAGGAAGATCCTTTGCAGGAACAGGATGAGGTGGTAACAGGCACAAAACTATTGCATAGATCTTTAGGGCAACAGATTTCTTTTACCCAGCAGAAACTGAAATAAAAGAAGTGAAGTAGGACTTGAAATAGGACCAAAGTTTGTTTATGGCTACATCCCACATTTTAGCCAAGATTCATCACTGCAAGTTGGATCCAGACTAAGTTCATTGACTTTAGTTCCCACTGAAAACAATAGATTTAAGTCATGGAATCAGTGTTACTCATTCTCCTCAGCCATGGTGAAACAACACAAAATTCTAACAGTAAAGATGGGATAGGTGGGGGAGAGGGGCACAGAATTTGAGGAAAAGGTAAAAATGGTAGCTTCTAGTGGAGGTGGTTGCAAAACACACATTGATATAAAAGAGGAAAAGTCAAGGAGATTTGGATAAGCAGGGCCCCCGTCTGCTGTTTCAGGGGGCTGAGTCCATTGGGGGCTGTTGGTTACTTCCTGATGAACTTAAAAAGTAAAAGTCACCTTTGGGTTGAGCTCATCTCCAGCTGACTGACATGGACATCACCATGCTGTTTTCTGGACAAGAGACTGGGCACTGCTTTCTATCAGGGTGTTTCTTTTCAACTTTGTGATCTAGGCTGCAGGACTAGGACCCTTCAGGCAGGTCCTTCACCATGGAGTAACAAGGTTGACCTGCTTAGCTTTCTAGATCAGCCAAGGCTACCTAGAGATTTAAAGCCTGATGAATGTGACCCCACTAAGTGCACAGACCCAAAGTTCAACCCACTCTGTTGGCTTCATCTCAGCTTGGGTTTTAGGGAGAAGATTAGTCTCTTTGGTTCCCTAATACAATTCAGGTAATATTTTCTTCCCTCCAAATAACACAGGCAGAAGCAGCTGCGAGGTGAATTTGGGCTGGCATATTGTCAGCCCCTCGATGTAGGCCAGATCGCAGAACTGATCGATAACACAAGGACCGCTGGAACTCTATTAATATAGGATATATTAACAGAATCCTGAAAACCTGTCAGACTTTGCCCTCTCTTATACCAAACTGAATCAAGGCGGGACAATCTTGAGTTTCCTTCTCACCCCGTTTTCCGTCCCAGGGCTAAGCTGATGTTTACTTAATGATTCTTACATTAAGCACCCTTATCAGTCAGACTTTGGTTGAGGGGGTGCAGTGGGACGTTTGGACTATGAGTTGTCTGGTAGAAAACATTAGAGTTGCCAATACAGCTTGCAGCCTCTTTAGTTGCATCTTTGTTTTGGGTCCCTAGACCAGATCAACCTGCTCAGCAAAAGGATGGTGGACTGGCTGCGGTACGCCAGCCTCCAGCAAGGAGCGTCCCCAGCGACCGGTGGCTTTTTCAACCCCAGAGCCAGACAGGTATTCAACCACGCTGTAGGGGCTCACCCCTAGATTGCTTTGCACGGCTGGAGTTGGGTCAAAGTCAAAGCGCGCTTGGGTAGTTTGTGGTTCGGTGTGTATGTGGAGGTGTGTTAGGAACTCTAATATGGGCTATTTGGTGGGATATAGCTTTGGTGTAAATCTGTGAATTATGTTTTGTTAACCGTAGTTAGGTTTAGTGTCTCATGTAAATGTCCCTCTGTTTGGGTGTACATGGACATGTTGGATTGCAAGTCCCACCCTGGGTCCCCTCCAAAAATAGGAAAATTCTCAGCAAAGGCCATACCGTCTGAAAGTTGAAACATTCTGGAAGCTGGATCCCATGTCTAAGGGTGCCTGGGTTGAGAAAAGCTGATGTAAAGGATCGTGGGGGAGGGTGGGAGTTGATGGGATATCGAGAGTTGGACAGGAATGCAGGACTCTGAAAAACACAGGAGGTTAGCTCAAGGTGGTTGAGGAAGGGGATCTTTTAATTAAAAAAACGCAGCTACTTTCTTCTTCTTCTGGGAAATAGCTGTAATGTTTTACAAGGCCATCAAATGTTCGGAGTGGGAAAACAAACTAAGCAGAACTAATGAAATACAGGTAGTCCCCGGGTTAAAAATGCAGATTTTCAGATGATTGTCTTACAGATAGTTAAGAACAGAGCCTATTGTAGCAAAATTCGAGTTAAATACACAATGATTCGAGTTAAATACACAATGGTTCCAGTTCATTACACAATACTACTTATATGATATTAATACTGTTCCGGCTTATGTACACATTCGACTTAAGGACAGACCTTGGGAACGGAACTCGTTCTTAAACTGGGGACTACCTGTAGTCCCCTTTGATTTTTTTTCTTTCCCCACCCCTTTTTTTTTTTGCACACCAATTGCATGTATCAGTCACCAGCACAAAGATTAACATCCTTTGCAGCTGGCATGCATTGTCCAAAAGCTGAGATATTCCCCCCACCACCACCTTTTTCAGCTTCAAGACTATTCTGTCCCCTGGGGACATGTGTATGAGAGAGCCAGCATAAATATGTCTGTAAAAGAGTGGTAGGGAAGAGAGAGTGAGTCTAACCAAAAATTGTTACCTACTGCTGACATCGTATTTTTGCTTCACTGGGCTTGAGTTCCTGCCCCAAGCCTTTGAATGGGCAGGAATCAGATATAGAGGAAAGAGTGGGTGAAAATGCAAAACTCTTTTAAAAGTCACAAGGAGCAACACAGCTGTTTGAAGCTTGAGGCCTTTTTAGTTTAGAAAAAAAAGATAACCAAAGAGCAGGAGAGATAATGGGATTTTTATACTGCTGAGAGGCAGCCTGGGAACGTGCACAGTAGCAAGAGAGAAAAGCAGAATTAACAGTTAAAAGCTAAAAAGGGTACCTCTGTTTGTTACACGCTAGGGACAAAGAACACGGCCCAGAAATTCTTGTGCCTTTCTCAGAGGCGGCTCTGTGAATCAGGATTCTGCACTTGATGATTTCAGTTTGATCCTACAGAGCTTTTAGATTTGCAGGCCTGAATCTGCCTTTTTCTGCCAGACGGTGGGGAAACCTTGCATTTAAACCTGGAGCTATAGTCCCGGCCTCTTGATAAGCTCCTGAAATCCTACAGTTTAACCTGCCTTTTGCCTTTCTCCCAGCCCGGCCCCATCACTGAGGTAGATGGCACGGTGGCCACCGACTTTTTCACCGTGCTCTCAGTGGGCCAGAATTACACCGAGGACCAGTGGCTCAACATGCAGGCTTTTTCCATGCTGCGGAAATGGCTCTTGTGCTACGGGAGTGACGGAACAAGCAATCCAAATTCAGGTGAGGGCTTTTCTGGGGACCCTGCAGTGGAAGAGAAATGTGCGTTTCCACATCCACGGGAGGATTTGGACTTGGTGTTCCAAGATAAGATGGGCCCTCCTGTCGAAACGCTGGGAAAAACTGGGAATTGAAAATATATATATATGATTTGCGTTCTCTCCTCTAGGAGCTCCCAGACCAGGTCCAGAAGCCACAAGCAAAGTCAGTGAGACTGATGAGGTTGTCTGTTGTCTCTCTGGATGATTTATTCCTCTGACTTTTTTGTTCTGCAGATAGGAGCTTAGGCTAGATCCCAGGTGTGGATTAGGGCTAACTGATGCATAGCCCAACAGTGGTGCTCCTCAATGGAAGCAAAGCTCTCATACCATGAGACGGAAACAAACATAGTATCTGACTGCACCTTCAAAACCAGACTTTTAAACTTGATCGATTGATTGAATCAATTCGTACAGCTGCCCATCTCAGACAAGTGACACTGGGCGGCGAGCAAAATTAAGAACAGAATAAAAACAATTACAATTACAACTCTGCGAAAATTAAAATATATAAGAGCCAAGAATAAATCATACACCACAGTCCCTCACTCTGCCAAAGAAAACCTTTTTTTAACAATGTAGATTAACGTCGAACAAGGCAGATAAGAACCATTACAAAAAATTCAACTAATGTTGAGTGGCAGTGAAAGAGTTAAGGGCGTAATCGTTGGGGGGAAAGACTCTGTGGTGCCCCCCTTCCCTTGGGGCCCTGAGCATGGGCTTGTTTTGCTTAATAGTTCCTCCAGGGGCTGCTTGAACCCTGATTGGAATACGGGCAGGTCATTCAGTCACTTGCAGTGCAGGGACCAGTAGAGTGACACTGAGGATGGCCCATTGCACTCCTGCACACACGTCATTCCTATGTCTATTTCACACAGGAGCTTAAGGCGATGTAGCTGTTGTTCCTCCTGTTTTTCCCCTGCAACAACCCTCTGAAGTAGATTGAGAGGTGACCAACCCAAAGTCACCCATGGAGCTTTCCTGGTCAAGGGTAGACTTCAACCTGGGTCTCTAGAATAGTCTTCTCCTGGAGATAGGTTGTCAAAAATGCCACTAGTGACTCACCTAAGAAGGTTGGGGAGGGTCCGCTTTTCTGAGGCTGAGCTTTCAACCCCCTCACCTTAGTTTTGAGATGGAGCTAAATCTCCACACGTGGGTCATAGGAAGTTCCTCCTTCCATTTGAATCCCTCTCGTTCACCTCGTGTGGCCCATCCAGCACCAAGGCACACTTCGTTCTGCCCCGTCTTGTCTCTTCTCTTACAGACGACAAGTCAGAGGTGGACGGGTCTCTAGTATCGATGGTCTCCGTCACGTCCACTTCGAGTCGGCTCCTCCCACCGAGGGAACGCTTGAGGGAAAAGGCATTTGAGTACTGCCAGCGGCTTCTGGAGCAGAGCAATCGCCGTGAACATACCCCCTTTTCTGGGGGG